GGAGATATTTTGGAGAGGACTGAGGAACATGTGCCTATCGTGTGCTGGGAGATCTACATCTGAACCACAGAGAGTAGTGGACGGGCTTCTGCCAGATCCCCTTTCCAGAAGGACTCACTGCTCACCTTTGAGGGAGTGCAGCCCTGGCAGCCTCCTGTGGCCTGCAGGGTGGGCTCAGCAGCAGGGAGCTGCCTGGCCCCAGTTCATACCCCTCCTAGGACACCCACTACCTGCGACTGGTGGGCAGGTGTGCAGTGGCTTAGCCATCAACCAGATGGAGACACTCTCTGGGCAGTGCTCACAATAAAGCCCCCACCAGGCTGGCCAAAGCTTTGTAAGGCCCGCCTGATAGCTGGGCTTCTTCTTCTGCCAATCCTGCTTTTCCCTCTGCCTCTCACAGGTTCATCCATCTCCAGTCAGCGTGTACTCCAAACCCAGCCTCTGCTTCCAGAGAACCCAACCGGCAACAAGTTTGCTCCAGAGCTCCCCCATCAAATTAAGAAGGAAAATAAAGACAAAATCATACACTTACAAAACTACATTGTTTCAAAAGAACGCAACAGATGAACACAGGCTGTTCTGTTCCAACTAATGAAAATCTTGCTGCGGGAAATCTGCTTGTCAGTTATTAAATCAGGGGATCCATTTTTCTCAGATGCACATTGTTTGGAAGGAGGTGGAGTTCTGTATTAGTTTTCTAGGCCTGCTGTAACACAGTAACACAGACTGGGTGCTTTAAAACAACAGGCATTGTTCTCGCCTCTGAACTCAAGGAGTTGGCAGGGCCATGCTCAATCTCCCAGCTTCTGTGGGTGCTGCAGTCCTTGGTGTTCCTTGGCCTGCAGCCGCTCTACTACAACCCTTGCCTCCATCATCATATGGCCATCTCTGTCTTCCCTCCGTGTCTGTCTCCACATGGCATTTCCTCTGTGTGTGTGTCTGACTCCACATCTCTCTCTCTTTTTTTATGAAGACACCAGTCATATTGGATTAAGGGCCAACCTTACTCATGACGACCTTGTTTTAACTTACATCTTAATTCTATTTGTAAAGACCATACTTCTGAATAAGGTTATATTTATAGGTCCCAGGGGGTTAGGACCTGAACTATACATTGTGGGGATTATAAAGGATTAAAAACACAACAAAAATCTCCAGTGTGTTTATTTTCTTCTCTACTTTCAATATTTCTAGCCACCAAATGGGAGGTAGAGGGAGGGTTTCCTCACACCAAGCAACAGCAGGATTCTGCAACACCAGCAAGGTGCTCTACAAGTCAATTCAGTCCTGACTTTCCCTGGATTGAGCAGATTAAGGGCTCAGCGCTACAAGACAGCTCACCTCTAAGCTCCGCTTCAGATCCCAAATCCAGGTTGTCACCTGTGCATCTGACCAACTGGCTATAAATCAAAAATTCCTATGACCCCCTTCTATTGTAGATTCAGTTAATCTGTTACAATGGCTCACAGAACACAGAAAAACATGTGACTTACAAAATAACTGGTTTATTATAAAATGATGTAACTCAGGAACAGCCAGTTAGAAGAGATGCGTAGGGCAAAGGATGTGATCGGGGATGTAGGGATCCCATGCCCCCTCTAGGCCTACTCCTCTCCCCACAACCACATATTCACCAGCCCAAAAGCTCTCTGACTTTCCTACTTCTGGTTTAATGGAAACTTCATTATGTAGGCATGTTTGATTAACTCATTGGCCATTGGTGATTGAACTCAATCTTCAGCTTTTCCCCTCTCCCCAGAGGCCTGGGGTGGGGGTGGGGAGCTGAAAGCTCTAACCCTCTAATCACGTGGTTAGTTCCCCTGACAACCAACCAACCCTCATCCTTAGGGGCTTTCCAAAAGTCACTTCCTTACACTCAGGTGTTTTTGAGAGGAGCTTCCTTGGGAATAGCAGAAGGCACTTTCATTGTTCCAATCACTTGGGAAATCACAGGGTTTTAGAAGTTCTGTGTCTGGGACAAGGACAAGGATCAAATAGAACATTTCTCATGACAAATCACAGTATCTCCGGGACCCCATTCAGTCCGTGATAAAGGGTCCTAACCTAGTTTACAAAGCCTATTTTCAGCCCAATAATTCCGAACCACAGCAGTGACATGGAAAGGAATAGTCATTGGCCCTTATTCCCACCATCAAGTGCCCACCTGGCTGGATGTCTGGGAGGTCACGTGGCCTTTGGAGGGGAAGTAGGCTCATGCAAGGGATTAGGCAGATGTTTGGGAGAACACAACGTTCAGGCTTCTGGCACATGGAATCGCACCAGGACCCTGGGCCGGCCTTGTCAGCTCAAGCGCAGGCTCTGAGTGGAGGGACATTGTTGTCCGCGTAACACATCCATGCTGGTGGCCGCAGCTCTGGGAGCAGCTTTGGAGAGAGGAGTGGGGAGGGGAGGAGAATAGCAGCAAAGTCAGGCACAGCTAGATAGCTATCTAGTATCTTCATAAAAAATATATATATATGGATAAACTTGGGTCTCTGCCAACATCTGATAAAATTAAGGATTTATTAAGAGGTTTTGAAATAGATCACTGTTACCAAGCTGGGGTTTGTCCAAGCTGGAACATTTCCTGATAAAATTGCCCAAGCAGTGTAAGCAATTAAGAGGGTGCTGTCGGTAGGTAGTTCAGACACATGTGCTGATTCCCACATTGCATGTGGGACTTCTGCAGCTTACTTGTGGGTAGAAAACAGCTTAAACTATTTGCAGAAACGTGTCCCTTTCTTCAGAAAGAGTTGTGGTTAATTGGCATTTCCATTATGTTTTGCTCCCCGACTTCTCCGTTGGTTTGTACGCTACTAAGTGATGTTTAAGCAACATGTTCGGCTTATAGAAGTTTTGCATCTAGTTTGTATAAAAGCATGAAACATGGCGTCCAAATATGTTAAAAATATGAGCCAATTTAATAGTGTCATTATTTTTCTTAGTGACCAATGGCTCTGTGTATTTAAAACAAACCTTTTTGCCTCCTATTTAGTATTTTGGGATACATTCATGTTGCATTATTAATATCATCAAGATGTTATTATTTTTAGACTCAGTTAAATTAAGAAAGGAAGAGAGTAGTCATGCAGGCTAAATTTAGTAAAAATATATGTGGAATTAAAATGCAAGTACCGTAGTTGGCATAATTTGAAGAGTTAGTTGATTGTGAATCTACACTTGAAATGTATAAGAAAATCAGTATATGCATTAAAGGCCATCCTCCTTTCACTGCGATTTTAATATTTGTGAGAGAAAATAAAATTTCATCTGGACCTTTAAGTAAAGAAGTTAAGAAAGTATAAGGACTAGTCATATTTGTTTGGGCCAAAAATTCTGATGAACTTCATCTAAATGTTTAAATGAAATGGTTCCTTAATTATCTATATAGCAGGTGTTGGAATAGTGTTGTTTTATTCAATGTCGCTTCATTATAATGTTGGTGAGAAGGAAAAAAACAAAATAATGCCCAGCCTAGGTCACTGTCTGTAGAGTTGATACATTCTCCAAGAATTTTCTCCAGGGACTCTGGTTCCTCCCACACCCAAGAGATGTGCATTGAGGTGAGCTGGAGGGTCTGATGTGCATTGAGGTGAGCTGGAGGGCCCTGGTCTGAGTGAGTGTGGGTGTGGGTGTGGGTGTAGATGATGCACCAGTGATGAAGGGCCTCCTGTTCAGAGGGCTCCTTCTGAGGCCCTGAGCTGCTGGGATCAGTTCTGGCCACTCAGAACTGGAATAAGTGGCTTGGAGAGTCATCATCTTGCTTGTTTCTAATAACTTTCTTAAATGCATGTATAGTTCCCATTTACCTCAACTTATAATATCATAACTGTTTTAGGTCTCTGTTTCGAGGTTTGGTGATGTTTTTGTGACCGGAAGTGTGCCATAGGAACTTAACAAAAAATATGTGGCTGACTAGAATATGTAGTGCATAGGTAACTCCTTTGAGTGCTAGGAAAGAGCTAGATACATGAATAAAGGGATCTAGAAATCTTCTTTCCTAAGGGCCTAAAGTGGACTTACAATATTCAAAGATAGGTGACTTCTGTGCCGTTAGGATATGGGAAATGAGCCTCATGATGATCTAGTAATTTGGGGCTTATTCCAAATTGTCCAAACCTGTCACCATTCACATTTTTCACTCATTAAGAAATCTGAAGTTCAACAGAGGAGGAAGGAGGGTGAATTGGAGTTAAAATTATTTCAGGAATTCTGTCCTGCTTTGGATGAAGATCTGGGTTGCCTTCTGTGGACCTTACCTGAGTAAACGTTAAATATCATTTGACAGCTAAGCTTGTTTTGATGTTGCAGAGAATGGGAGTTTCATTTTATTCAAGTGAAATCTACATGGAACTGCACATTTTTCCTTGACTGTGGATAAAAGTGGATGGCAACTCGGAGGAAGAGAAACCAGCCATCAAGGCTTGTTGCTGGGCGAGCCCAGAGGTGTTGGAATGGAGGAAAAGGCACGCAAAAGCACGGGTCCTGCACGCTTTTGGGGATGGAAGGTCACCTGGCTGAGGTCACCTGGCCTGTGGACTCCCACTGTGCGTGGGGATTTATTTTTGCAGTTCTGAGGCTTTTCCTTAGAGACAGCTGCAGGGAACAGAGGGTGGGACTTGGCGCCCAACCCTCTCCAAGACCAGGGAGGGCCCATCTGATGAACATATTTGGATCTTGCACAAGACTTTGGATGAAAAAGACTTTAGTGTGTGGAATAACAACGTTTAACAATCATTGTAGTCAGGGTCCCCCCCCCCTCCCCCGCCCCAGCCCTTACCCCAGGAGTATTGCAGAATTAGGAGAAGAAATACCTAAGGATGGATGCTCCTGAGCTAGTCTCATGCATGCATGTGTATTTGTGGCGCTCCTGTAAGTACCAGCGAAAGTGCTTTGTCGGTATCCCAGAGTGGCTAGAATGAGCCACATGGCAACCTGGAAAGGGATAAAGGGATGCCGGTTTTCTTGTCAGTCGGAGGGAAATGAGTCAATTACAGTTGGCACTTAATAAGTTTTTAATATGCTCAGTATGTGTTCCAAATAGAATTATCAAGAAATGACAAGCTTCTCTTTTTCACCCACATTACAGAACTAGATACGGGCATCTGAGGGATGAATTAACCACTTGTGATTTTTGTTTCCAAAGATAGGTACCGTGTTTCAAAAATCTTTGGAGGAATAACTGCAAGGAGACACAAAGGCTGGGACAGTGGGAGCTGATGGCTCGGGCCTGAAGAAAGCAGAGGAACAGGAAACCCACTGCTTAGAACTCTTCCCTTTGATTGTTAGCGAGGGCAGTGACGTGTGCAAGGGGAGCTGTAGCCAGGCCCAGCACAGGAGCAGAGCGGGCTCTGGGGCTCACAGAATGAGTGACTAGGAAGCCATATGCTGCAGAACATTCTGCAATATTCCAGCATTCTGAGGCTTGGATCCTCATGGCCAAGGTCCCAAGGCAGAGGTGAGGTTCTGAAGCCCCCTGCCTGGGAGAGCTGGCTGAAATTCCTGGCTTTTGAGCAGTCTTTTCTACCGAATGCTGACCAAGTGAGGAGTTCCCTTGGTAGGTTGGAACTCAGGTGACCAACCCATCCAGGTTTGCCTGGGACTTTCCTGGCTTTAGCACTGAAAGTCCTGTGTCCTGGAAACCCCCTCGTTCCCAGGCAGACTGGAATGAATAGTCAGCCTAAGGCATGGTTCTCAACCTTCCTAATGCTGCGACCCTTTAATACAGTTTTTCATGTTGTGGTGACCTCCGAACATACAATTATTTTCGTTGCTACTTCATAACTGTGATTTTGCTACTGTTATGAATTGTAATGTAAGTATCTGTGTCTTCTGATGTCTTAGGCTCTACAGCAGGGTTCTCAACCTGTGGGTCGCCTGAAACCATTGGAAAACACAGATATTTACATTACGATTCATAACAGTAGCAAAATCACAGTTATGAAGTAGCAATGAAAATAATTGTATGGTTAGGGCTCACCACATGAACTGTATTAAAGGGTCGTGGCATTAAAAAAGCTGAGAACCACTGTCCTAAGGAAATAAGAGCCAAGCGCATCGGCTGGGTATTTCAGTAACAAACCACCGCAAAAGTCAGCGGCTTACAACAGCTGCCATTTTATTTGCTCAACATTTTGCACTCTCGGCTGGGTTCAGCAGGGCAGGTTTCCTGCTCGCCTTCTTCAAGGCGATTGGTATGGCTGTATTCAGCGAGTGGGTCGGCTGGAGGCTGGGCTCAGCTGAGATGAAGAGACACATGGGCCATGTTCTCTGACCAAGGAACCTCAGGGCCTCTTCCTTCCCAAGTGCCTCTTCAAAGACTTTTATAGCCATGACGCTGAATGTCTACATGGAGATGCAGGGCTCTTCAGAGTGCAAATCCTGCTTGCCTTCTTAGCCTTAGGCCTGAAACGGGCACAGCGCAATCCCACCGGATCTTATGGGTCAAGCCGGTCACAGTGCCATGCTGGGATCAGAGAGGCAGACTGCACAAGGTGTGACTCCGAAGGGGCAGATCATAGGGGGCTACCGATGTAACAGTCTGTTCCAGGGGTGCAGGTGCTCACAGGGACTCCCAGGGGGCTGATGCACCCTAACCTGTTTGCTAGGAAACCTTCCTTGCTCTTCTTATACTCTCAGAGAGGATAGAATATGAATGGCTTGATTGTTAATATATATATATATATATATATATATATATATATATATATATATATATATTATTGATTTCAGAGAGGAAGGGAGAGGGAGAGAAGCATCAATGATGAGAGCGAATCATTGATCGGCTACCTCCTACACAACCCCCATTGGGGAATACAATCTGAGCATGTGCTCTGACCACAAACCGAACTGTGACCGCCCCCTGGTTCACAGGTGGATGTCAACAATGGAGCCAAGCCTGTGGACATGACTAGCTTGACTATCAGAGAGCCCTAAAGAGCTGTAGGTTGGTGGAGGGCACGTTTATCCCCATCATTCCTATTTCTGCTAAGCATAGAGCAGAGGATGGAACATCTCTTTTAGGTTTCTAGAAGGTTTGCAAGAAGCAACAGGTTGGAGGCCTAGGTTGACACTAAAAGGCCCCGGACTCTTCCCTTGCACGCAACACGCACGGCGGAGTCAGTGCCTCTGTCAGGGTCTCTGCTCAGGGCAGGGGTTACAGAGATCACCGAGACACAGCACCTTCTCAGCATGGAACCTGCTCACCCAGGCCCCACGTCTTGTCTTAAGGTTTAAATGAATGCCGAAACCGGTTTGGCTCAGTGGATAGAGCATCAGATTCGATTCCGGTCAAGGGCATGTACCTTGGTTGCGGGCACATCCCCAGTGAGGGGTGTGCTGGAGGCAGCTGATGGATGATTCTCTCTCATCGATGTTTCTAACTCTCTATCCCTCTCTCTTCCTCTCTGTGAAAAATCAATAAAATATATTTTTTTAAAAATAAAAAATAAATAAATGAGTGCCAATATAGGCCCTCCTCTCGGTGCCCTCTACCCCCTCTCGCTTCTCTACTGCCGCTCTGACCCCTGCAAGGCCAGGTTTCCCAGCAGCTCCCCTGAGCAGTGCCTCCCTGGAAGGCCAGGTCCAGTCCTTCTTCTCAAACAGGGAAGGTGAGGGTGCACTGGCCAGAGAGGCCCAGCGGGCACTCCTGGGAGACCAGCCCAGCCCCCTGCACTGCAGAGCAGCTCCAATCCTGCTGGGTCCCACTCTCCCTGCCTTTACCTTTCTTCCTCCCCCCACCCCCCCCAACCCGGAGAGAATTGGACCCCTTCCCACCGCCCCCCCAAACTCCGCCTTAAAGCAATCCCTGAGCTGCCTGCAGGCTCTGGGTCTGTCGCTGGTCTCACCCCTTTCTCTTCCTGCCCCTTCCTCCATCTCTGTGGGTGCTGTCTGATCATTTTGACTATCAGAGCCCTTCCTCCGTGTCCCCCCAACACCCTGCCTGGCGCGGCCTCTAGTCCCAGCGCGTCCCGCCGGGGCTCTGTCGCTTTAAGCCGGGTCCCCGCCGCCGCTCCCTGATCGCTCCGGGAGCTCCCGCCGCCGCTCCCGCGCCTCCCCTCCCGCTCCTCCTGCTCTCGCGCTGCTCCTCCTCCTCCTCCTCCTCCTCCTCCTCCTCCGGCCACCCCCCCTCCTCCCCATCACCGCCGCAGCCGCCCCGCGCCCTCTCCGCCAGCCGCTCGCAGCCCGGGGACCCGCAGGCAGCCATGGCCGACATCAAGACGGGCATCTTCGCCAAGAACGTGCAGAAGCGAATCAACCGCGCGCAGGAGAAGGTCAGAGCCCGGCGGCGGTGCGGGCGGTGCGGGCGGCGGAGCCAGGAAGCGGAGGGGGAGGCCCGGCGGCGGCGGGGCAGGGCCGCCGGGGGCGCGGGGACGCGGGGACGCCCTGCGCTGCGCTGCGCCGCCCGCGGGGACTGCGGCGAGGCGCCCCGGAGGCTCCGGGCGCTGCGGGCGGGAGGCGCTGCGCGAGGGGAGCTCGACCCGGTCCCCGGTCCCCGGGTCCCCGGTCCCCGGGCGCGGGGTCTGCGGAGCCTCCCGTTCCCGCGCCCCCCGCGCGGCTGGGCCGGCAGCGCCGCCCGCTCTCCCGGCGGCGGCCGCGCGGGCGGAGCAGGTGCGGAGGTCGCCGCCACCCCGGGCTGAGCGCATCCGCCTCCGGAGCCCGCGCCCCGCGCCCCGCAGCCACCGCTAGGGATGCGCCCGCAGGTTCCGGCGGGAGGTTGCGGCAGACAGCTGTCCTTTCTCTGGGCGATTCACTGGTCACTGAGCGCGGCAGGCAGAAACGATCCCGTTAGCCCAGCAGACAACCCCAAATCTGTGTGGATCCGTAGTGAGCCCTGGAGTTTAGCGCATACCTGCAGGCGTGCACACTCTCTCTTCTGACGCCAGTGACCTTCTCTGGAAGGTCAGAAGTATACATGTGACCTGAGCCTAACAGTTCTTCTTTGCACATTTTTGTGCAAAGAAGGACGTTTTGTTAAGAAACCTGTATTGCGCGGATTGGTTCCCGAGACCCTCAGTAGCGTGGCCACGTTGGGTGGTTTGTTTTTCTCACCCAGGGGTGTGCACACATGGATCCCAGGATCGTTCCGCACAGCCCTGAGCGGCGGGAGAGGGACTGATGGGATCGGGCACAGGCTGGCCTGGCTTCCCAGACACTTCTTATAACGAAGACCTTGGGGGCCCTGAGGTCCTCGTCCGTGTCCGAGCAAAGGACGCTCCTATGGCAGCTGGAGCGCTGTACTTGAAAATGAACTTCATGGTTTCGGTCAGTCCCACCGTAGCAGGATGCTCCATGCCCGGGACGCTGGGTGTCTAGCACTTTGCTGTTTTACGGAAAGTCAGATGTACTGCCCTGCTCTGTGACAGGCTGCTGGGCTGCCCCCCACTTCCTGCTGACCTAGAAGCTGGGCGGAATGGGGCGCTGGTCCCTTGGCCTGTCTGTGGGCTGAGTGAGACTGGGTGGCTGCCTCTAGCCCCTCCCTGCGCACATGCACACTCTCAGTGCAGTAAGAGGATTGCATTTCTTTTAATATCTAGCCCAGCTCAGCCTGCACTAGCCGCGGTCCTCTCCCGCTGCTCCTTCAGCCCTCGAGTTAGCAAGGTGCCTGCCCCTTTTCTAGTCCCCGGCTACCTGTCCCAGAAGTAGCCAAGATCAACTGGGATCTGAGCCAGGTTTTGTCATCATTTTATTTATTTTTTTCACACTGCATTTTACCCATTTGTGGGTATTTCCCCCGTCCCTCCGAGTACCCAACTTGAATCTTTGGTCTGAAGCTTTTCACTGAATCCGCTTCCCATCTGTGAAGGAATTTAGTGATACAGCCTGCTTTTCACATGTTATTTCTTAATCTAGGTCACCAGCTGTCAATATGCCCAAAATAAATGAAACGAAATGTAACGTGTCTTTACAGAGCCCCTATGAATTGTTGAAAACTCGCTTCTTCGTTAGGAAGGTTACCTGTGTATCGTGATTGCCGTTGTGGCTGGGAGTGTTCCGTGGGCGTGGGGGTAGGGAGCCTTGCACAGGGCTTCTTCATTGGCAGAAGTTGCTGATGAAAAGTGCCCATGGCACCTCCTTCGGGGGCTAAGACACCGAGAGGCTGGGAATATAGGGTCTGCCTTTGGGTAAGTCCTGTGCTCTTCCCCTGCCTGTTCAACATGAGGTGAAGGGGCATGTGGGAAGCCGCGGAAGGGAGCCCAGCCAAGCCCAAAGGAAGCTACTGGAGAAGGAAAAGCACAGTGTGGTGCAGGCTTCACTAGACATCACCCAGGTGGTTCCTTCTTTTTGCATTTTTTGTCTCCTCCTCTTCTCCAGCGCACAGACACTCCATCGTAATAACTGTATGCCACATATGGTCTTAAAACCCGTTCTCCTTGTTTTTACAACCAAAGGTTCTAAAAAGAGAGTCCACTCCCTGGGCTTTCTCATTATCTGTGCTCTCCCTAACAGCTTGCCTGATTTTAGCTTCAAGTGCACGAGTGCGACTACTCTGAGAGGCTTTTAATGAATTTGAAATACATATATATATATTTTCTATTGAAAAATTCATAAAAGTTCACTGGAGACAGAATGAAATATACATATAGGCAAAAACAAAACAAAACAACAACAACAACCCTGCAACAAATTAGGCCATTCATAATTCTACCACCCAGGGATTTCACTATCATTTGATGTGCATCCTAGATCTTTTCCCATGTGTATATTTATACAACCAAAGTGTAGACTTCTACTACAGTAGTTCCCCCTTACTCTCAGTTTTGCTGTGTATGTTTTCAGTTACAGTACCCATGGTCAACCACACTCTGAAAATATTAAAAATGGAAAAATTCCAGAAATAATCCATAAGTTTTATCTCAGACGTTATGGTGGATATTGTGATAAAATCTTATCTTCCTTCTCTGTCTTGCTCGTGATGTGAACCATCCCTTGGTCTGGTGTCTCTAGCTGTGTACACGGTATCACAGTGCTTGTGTTCAAGGAACCTCTATTGTCCGAAAGTCAGTAGTAGCCCTAACACTATGTCATAATGCCAACATCATCCACCTCACTTCATCTCATCTTGTGGGTACTGCCTCATCTTACATCATCACAAGAAGAGAAAGTGAGCATCTATCTATCATCTATCTATCTATCTATCTATCTATCTATCTATCTATCTATCTAAAATCTAAGTGACTGTTACAATGAACGACTGTAAGGCCAGTCAACGGGTCAGGATAAGCAGAAGTGGAGCTGGCTCCTACCCAGCTGCCTGCCACTTTGGCCACAGGTGGGGATCAGGCTGAAACCCGGCAGTACGACATCACCCCAGGAGTCCCCAATTGTGAGAGGGCACAGGCTAGACTGAGGGACCCCACCCATGCATGAATCTGGGCTTCTAGTAGTACATAAAATATTTTGAGTGAGATTAAATTCACATGACTTTCATTACAGTATCTACCTAGTAAAAGAATAACATGCTAATTGACCATAGCTTTGTGCCCACCAGCCAATCAGGAGTGAGTATGTAAATTAATCCAAATAAGATGGTGGGTTAATTTGCATATACAGGTGCCAAGCAGCGGGGGGTGGGGGGGTGGGGGGTGGGGGAGTGCACGCATCCCACACCACCCCAGCTGCTCTGCGCTTCTGGGCAGTGTGGGGAGGTGGAAAGGCGGCTCCAGCCAGAGCAAAGGTGGTGCCAGCAAAGGAAGGCCCGTTCTTGCATGAATCTTCATGCATCGGGCTTCTAGTATTGTTATAATTGTTTTAGTATTAGTAATATTAGTTTTTGTTGTTAATCTCTTTCTGTGCCTAATTTTTATTTTATTTTATTTTTAAAAAAATACATTTTATTGATTTTTTACAGAGAGGAAGAGAGAGGGATAGAGAGTTAGAAACATCTATGAGAGAAAATCATCAATCAGTTCCCTCTTGCACACCCCCTACTGGGGATGTGCCCGCAACCAAGGTACATGCCCTTTTCTGGGATCGAACCTGGGACCTTTCAGTCTGCAGGCTGATGCTCTATCCACTGAGCCAAACCGGTTTTGGCTGTGCCTAATTTTTAAATTAAAATTTATCATTGATAGGTATGTATAGAAAAAAAACAGTATATATAGGGTTCAGTACTGTCCTCGATTTCAGGCCTCCACTGGGTGTCTTGGAATGTATCCCCCATGGATTAGGAGGGAATACTATATATGGTTTTGTAAGTTGTTTATTTCATTTAATAATCATGAACATTCTTTAATACATGTATTGATATATTTTCAATCAACATTTTATTTTTTTAAAATACACTTTTATTTATTTCAGAGAAAAAGGGAGGAGAAAAAGATAGAAACTTTAATGATGAGAATCCCCTGCTGAGGACTGAGCTTGCAACCCAGGCATATACTCTGCCTAGCAGTTGAACTGTGACCTTCTGGCTCATAGATCGATGCTCAACTAATGAGCAACACTGGCTGGCTGGGCTCAATCAACATCTTAGATGACCGAATAGTATTGGAATGTATAGATTTTATTGAATCCCTTATATTTTGGACATTCTGTTTACACTGTTCCTCTTTATAAATACAAATCAGTGAGAACATGAGTAAGGGAAATGTATGCATACACTCTTAAGCATCTCCTTAAGTAAATTTCTAGAAGAAGAATTATTGTTTCAAAGGTACACTCATTTTTATTATAGTTATATTAGATTAGGGTTATTCTCAATTGCCACACCCCAGCATGCTGGTTCTCCAGTCATCTCAGCTCTTCATCAATGGTCTGTCGTCTCCATACTTGCACATATGCCCACAGCTTCCCCTCCCCAAGATTTCTTATGCTGTCAGGACCCTAAAGTTAGGATGTTATCAAACATCGTACCTAGAGTTATTCATTCCGTTCCACTCCACTCTATTCCATTTTTAAGAAAATGCTCATGTGGGTATACTAGATTGATTTCAAGCCTGCAATTTGAAAACCATTATCCTGAAGGAACTCTGGCATCCTTTTCTATGTAAGTTGGCTTTCTTTTGTACCATTTTATCCATCCAAGGATGTGTGTGCGTGTGTACATGTTTGTGTGTGTGTGTGATTAAGTTTCAGGAAATAGTGATGACTATCACTTTAATTTTGCATAATACTATGTATTGTATATAGTCTTATAACAGTCTTCCATTGGTAAATTCTTTGAACTCTATGATGATGGCACTTTCAAAAAATAATGTGAGGTACTTTGGAGGTGGTGAGTATAGGAGGGAAAGGATGTTTTAAAAAATATGTTGTTCTGAATTTTTAAAGT